CTGCTAACTCTCTGGCTGCTGTCTGTAGTTCCACCAAGCAGACAAGCGATGAGTCACTATGCAAAGAGGGTATCCCAACTAGTTTGGCCAGCTGACCCCCATGGAGAGGAACACAGGAAGGTGGAATGCTGCCCTGGCTGGGGGGCAGGGCTGGAGGAGAGTGAGTGAGTTCCTGGCTGGAAAGCAGGGGAGAAGGGGCTGGGATTCCCCTATCTCAAGGGGGGCACTGAGGCCTCTTAGCCCCCAGTTCCCGTAACCAGATTACATCTGTGCTATGCTGTATCCTGGAGGAGCAATAAACCACCCTCAATTCTACTGGGTGGTGGAGTCTGTGCCATTTCGGGGTGCAGGAGATGGGGGACCCCAACGCGCCATCACAAGGAGGGGGAAGGAGGGGAGGGTGGAATAAGGCCCCAGTGGGGCATGCAGGGAGAATTCAGTCCTCCTCTACATGGAAGCTCTCCCGCAGGGTTTCCCGGATCTGGACAGCCCGGGTTGCAGGCTGGGCTGTGTGTACTGGCCAGCCACGCGGTCAGCCTCAGCCATCCAGGCTGGCAGGAAAGCCTCCTCATTCCGTTCGCATAAATTGTGCAGCACACAACATGCTGTGACAATGGGAGGCAGATTGTGCTCGATGAGGTTGAGGCGGGTGAGGAGGCACCTAAATCTGGCTTTCAGTCCGCCGAAGGCCCCCTCGACCACAATCCGGGCCCTGGTCAGCCTGGCATTGAAGGCCTGCTGGGAGGGGTTGAGGTGCCCCGTGTAGGGCTTCATCAGCCAGGGCTGTAGGGGGTAGGCCGCATCCCCCACCAGGCAGATGGGCATGTCCACGTCCCCGACCCCGATGTGGCAGTCGATGAAGAAGGTCCCAGCGTGCAGCCTCTGGCACACGGAGGAGTTGCAGACCACCCTGGTGACGTGTGCCTTGCCGGACCAGCTCACATTAATGTCTGTGAACTGGCCCCGGTGGTCAGACACAGCCTGCAGGATCACGGAGAAGTACCCCTTTCGGTTGATATACAGGGAGGCCTGGTCTGGAGCACAGATGGGGATGTGCGTCCTGTTGATGGCCCCCCCGCAGTTGGGGAAGCCGAGGGCGCCGAACCCCCGGATGACGGCGTCCAGGTCGGCGAGGCGGACCACCCTGCGGAGCAGCACCCGGTTGATGGCCTTGACCACCTGCAGAGAGACACAGCAAAGCGTGAATCAGTGGGGTGTCTGGGAGTGTTAGTTCCCTGGCACTACCCCTCGCCCCACTCCCAGAAGCAACCCCCCCGGGTGGCGTGTAGTACAGCTGGGACAAACCGAATCCTCCCATGCAGGGCACTTTTGCCTCCTCCTGCTCTGTTTTCCCTGGGGTGGCCCATCCCCTCCTTGCATCCCCCCTCGTCCTCCGGCCAAGTGGCCGGTGAGTGCTGTACCTCCATGAGCACAGCTCTGACAGTGGATTTCCCCACGATAAACTGGTTCCTGACAGATCCGTAGCTGTCCAGCATGGAGAGCTTCCACAGGGCAATGGCCACACGCTTCTGGAGGGGTATGGCAGGCCTCATGCGAGTGTCCCTTCTGCGCAGGGCAGGGGCGAGCCACTCGCAGAGCTCCAGGAAGGTGTCCTTCATCCTGAAGTACTGGGTCCATTGTTGAATAGTGATAGAAATGTAGCCGTGTTAGGCTGGTGTAGCTGAAACAAAATACAGGGCTATGAGGTCTTCCCATCCCTCCAGGACAATACGGTCCCACCAGTCACTACTGGTGTCCAGACACCAGATGCGGCGGGGCACGCTGGTGTCCGGGCGGTGTTGCGGCTCCTCCACGGCCTCCAGGGAGGCCAGGGGGAGGGACAGGGGGCTGATGTGCACCAGATGGTGTCAGGCAGTCTCCAGCCACTGCTGGCGCAGCAGCAAGTCCAAAAACTGGAGCAGAATGCCCAGGGTGAGCTGTGGCTCCATGGTGCCAACTGCAGCGGCATCCCCAATGGTAACCACCGACACAGACAGACGGAGAGGAAAACGCTTCACTGTCCCTCGGTGAGGTAGGCAAGCAAGCGAAAAGCTGAGAACTGGCTGTCCAGGGGGGTCCCTTTAAGCACGAGCCTCAGATAGCCCCAGGCAGCAGCCACACAAAGCAACTACTGACCTGATGTTCTGCTGGAACCGGTTTTAGCTGCCCTTAAATGCAACCTAGCATCCAATCAGTTTGGACGCGCTATTTCAAATTAGGAAAACGCTAATTTGAATTAGTTTTTGGGTCTAGATGCGTTATTTCAAATTAGCTTATTTCAAATTAACTAGTTCGAAATAAGTTAGTTTGAATTAGCACTGTAGTATAGACATACCCTTGGCTACTAAGGCACACTCTTGACTCATATCCAGCTTCTCATCCACTGTAATCCCCAGGTCCTTTTCTGCTAATCTGCTTATCCAGTCGGTCCCCAGCCTATAATTCTGCACTTGTCCTTGTTGAACCTCATCAGATTTCTTTGTCCTCGTCCTCCAATGTGTCCAGGTCACTCTGGACCCTATCCCTGCCTTCCAACATATCTACCTCTCTCCCTAGCTTAGTGTAATTTGCAAACTTGCCGAGAATGCAACCCATCCCCTCGTCCAAGTCTCTAATGAAGATGTTGAACAAAACCAACTCCAGAACCGACCAGTGGACACTCCACTAGAAACCAACTGCCAACCAGACATCGAGCTGTTGATCACTACTCGTTGAGCCCGACAATCTAGCCAGCTTCCTATCCACCTTCCAGTGCATTTATCCACTCCATAGTTCCTAACCTTGCTGGTAAGAATACCATGGAATGCTGTATCCAAAGTATTGCTAAAGTCAAGATATATCATGTCCATTGCCTTCCCCATGTCCACAGAGCCTGTTACCTCCTCATAGAAGGCAAGCAGAGTGGTCAGGCAGGACTTGCCCTTGGTGAATCCATATTGACTATTTCTGATCACTTTCCTCTCTTCTAAGTGCTTCAAAATGGATTCCTTGAGGATCCGCTCCATGGTTGTGTCTAGACTGGCCAGTTTTTCCAGAAAATCAGCCACTTTTCCGGAAAAACTTGCCAGCTGTCTACACTGGCCAGCTGTCTACACCGGCCGCTTGAATTTCCACAAAAGCACTGACTTCCTACTGTAAGAAAGCTGTGTCTACACTGGCCGCTTGAATTTCCGGAAAAGCACTGACGATCTAATGTAAAATCATAAGTGCTTTTCCGGAAAAACTATGCTGCTCCCGTTCAGGCAAAAGTCTTTTTTGTGCAAAAGGGCCAGTGTAGACAGCTGAGATTTGTTTTGTGCAAAAAAGCATTTCCAGAAAATCATGCCAGTATAGACGTAGCCCAGGATTTTTCCAGTGACTGAGGTGAGGCTGACTAGTCTATAGTTGCCTGGATTGTCCTTCTTCCCTTTTTTAATGATGATCACTGCATTTGCCTTTTCCCAATCATCCAGGATCTCTCCTGATCTCTGAGTTTCCAAAGATAATGGCCAAAGGATCTGCAATGATATTTGCCAACTCCCTCAGCATTCTTGGCTCCATGGATTTGTGTATGTCCAGCTTTTCTAAATTTTCTTAACCTGTCCTTTCTCCACCATGGGCTGCTCACTTCTTTGTGAAGCTGCCTAGTGGAGCTGCCTGGGAGCAAACCCTTTAGTGTGAAAGGAGTGGGGGAAACATTGAGTATTTCAGCTTTTCCCACATTACGTCTAGACTGCAAGCCTCTTTCGAAAAAGAGCATCTAGACTACAACCAGTACTTTCAAAAAAGCAAGTCACTTTTACAAAAGAGAGCACTCGGGCTACATCTAGACTACATCCCTTTTTCGTAAAAGGGATGTAAATTAGACGTATCGCAATTGCTAATGAAACGGAGATTTAAATCTCCCCAGCTTCATTAGCATAAAAATGGCTGCCGCTTTTTTTCTGCGCGGAGCTTTGCCGGAAAAAAGCGCCAGTCTAGACGCTGATCTTTCGGAAAATAAAGCCTTTTCCGAAAGATCCCTTATCCCTCTTGAAATGCCTCATTTGCATAATTTATGCAAGGCATTTTTGCACAAAGGGTTTTTGTGGAAAAAAAATACTGTGGACATTTTCTTTTTGTGCAAAAACCCCTTTTCCCGCCAGATCGGCGAACCTCCTTTTTTGAGGCATAAGGATCTGGTGGGAAAAGGGGTTTTGCACAAAAATAAAATGTCCACAGAACTTTTTTTTCCACAAAAACGCATTGCATAAATCATGCAAATGAGGACGGTGATATGCTAATCTGCAACTCATTTGCATACTCGATGCCGGCAAAACCTGCAGGGTAGACTAGTGAGTGGAGAGTTCTTCCATGTGATTGCAGTGGGGTTATACCTGCTTTACACCAGAGTTACTGTGCCCTGAGACTTCAACGGGATCACTCCTGCTTCACACCAGGGTCAATGAGGTGGGATTTGGCCCCAGGGATTTCAGTAGGGTCACTACTGATTTACATCAGGCTGTCGATAAGATAGGTTGTAGTGCAGCCTTTCCAGGCCTGCAAATCATTCGCCTCAGCTGCCAGCGCCTCGGATGTAGGGATCTGGTGTTAGAGTAGAGAATGGGAGCCAAGACAGTGCCTCAGTTTCCCCTTTACTCTGGGTTGCGAGGACGGGAGCGGGACAATGGAGTGCGGCTCCTCCCAGCAGCTCGGGATTCAGCCCGGGCAGGTTTGCCCTCGGCCGCACTTCCTCTGCTCTCGGCTCGTGCCCAGGGGCACAGACACAATAGCCCCATTGAACGAAGGGAGGCGGCCGCGGGAAGCGACATTGCCGGGAAAAGGGAGGGGGCACGAGGGGAGGGACTTCCTGGCCAGGCTCTGCTCCCAGCGCGGGGATGGAATCCAAGAGTCCTGGCCCCAGGTTCCAGGTGGCCGGAGAACCGAGAAGTGCTGGCGCTCAGCCCGGCCCGCTCTAACCGTTAAACCCCACTCCCCTCGAGTTACCTCTTCCCTCCCACCGCTGCTGCAGGGGCAGCCCAGGGCGGGCCCAGGTGTTCTGCAGCTGCCGTTGCCATTGGGCAGCCCTGCCCGGCCCCTCCCCTAGCTCTGCGCTCCCCTCCTGGCCCGGCCCTGCCCGCTCCGCCCCAGGTGAACCATAGCACCACGGAGTTGCTGCCCTGGCCGGTGCCCTGCATGGTGGCCATTCCGTGCTCAGCCGCCTAGCTTCGGGAGCCCGGCCAATCGCATGCGGAGCCACCCGCTAGCCGGCAAGGAAGGGACGTATCACCGGTAAGGACCTTTCGCTCGGGCGCTGGGCGCCGCGCCCCAATAATCCCGGCCCGGCCCCTCACCTGGCCCCGCCCCATGCACATTCTTCCTCCAAGCATCATGCTCAAATGCCTCAACACACACTTCACTGACCACCACGGGAGCCCGGCCAATCGCATGCGGAGCCACCCGCTAGCCGGCAAGGAAGGGACGTATCACCGGTAAGGACCTTTCGCTCGGGCGCTGGGCGCCGCGCCCCAATAATCCCGGCCCGGCCCCTCACCTGGCCCCGCCCCATGCACATTCTTCCTCCAAGCATCATGCTCAAATGCCTCAACACACACTTCACTGACCACCACATCTCAAAATCGCCAGATCCCTCCCACCCTGTCCCCCACTGTGCACCCTGCGCCAGATCCCTCCCACCCTGTCCCCCACTGTGCACCCTGCGCCAGATCCCTCCCACCCTGTCCCCCACTGTGCACCCTGCGCCAGATCCCTCCCACCCTGTCCCCCACTGTGCACCCTGCGCCAGATCCCTCCCACCCTGTCCCCCACTGTGCACCCTGCGCCAGATCCCTCCCACCCTGTCCCCCACTGTGCACCCTGCGCCAGATCCCTCCCACCCTGTCCCCCACTGTGCACCCTGCGCCAGATCCCTCCCACCCTGTCCCCCACTGTGCACCCTGCGCCAGATCCCTCCCACCCTGTCCCCCACTGTGCACCCTGCGCCAGATCCCTCCCACCCTGTCCCCCACTGTGCACCCTGCGCCAGATCCCTCCCACCCTGTCCCCCACTGTGCACCCTGCGCCAGATCCCTCCCACCCTGTCCCCCACTGTGCACCCTGCGCCAGATCCCTCCCACCCTGTCCCCCACTGTGCACCCTGCGCCAGATCCCTCCCACCCTGTCCCCCACTGTGCACCCTGCGCCAGATCCCTCCCACCCTGTCCCCCACTGTGCACCCTGCGCCAGATCCCTCCCACCCTGTCCCCCACTGTGCACCCTGCGCCAGATCCCTCCCACCCTGTCCCCCACTGTGCACCCTGCGCCAGATCCCTCCCACCCTGTCCCCCACTGTGCACCCTGCGCCAGATCCCTCCCACCCTGTCCCCCACTGTGCACCCTGCGCCAGATCCCTCCCACCCTGTCCCCCACTGTGCACCCTGCGCCAGATCCCTCCCACCCTGTCCCCCACTGTGCACCCTGCGCCAGATCCCTCCCACCCTGTCCCCCACTGTGCACCCTGCGCCAGATCCCTCCCACCCTGTCCCCCACTGTGCACCCTGCGCCAGATCCCTCCCACCCTGTCCCCCACTGTGCACCCTGCGCCAGATCCCTCCCACCCTGTCCCCCACTGTGCACCCTGCGCCAGATCCCTCCCACCCTGTCCCCCACTGTGCACCCTGCGCCAGATCCCTCCCACCCTGTCCCCCACTGTGCACCCTGCGCCAGATCCCTCCCACCCTGTCCCCCACTGTGCACCCTGCGCCAGATCCCTCCCACCCTGTCCCCCACTGTGCATCCTGCGCCAGATCCCTCCCACCCTGTCCCCCACTGTGCACCCTGCGCCAGATCCCTCCCACCCTGTCCCCCACTGTGCACCCTGCGCCAGATCCCTCCCACCCTGTCCCCCACTGTGCACCCTGCGCCAGATCCCTCCCACCCTGTCCCCCACTGTGCACCCTGCGCCAGATCCCTCCCACCCTGTCCCCCACTGTGCACCCTGCGCCAGATCCCTCCCACCCTGTCCCCCACTGTGCACCCTGCACCAGATCCCTCCCACTTTGTCCCCACTTTGAACCTTGAGCTAGATCCCTTCCACCCTGTCCCCCACTGTGCACCCTGCGCCATATCCCTCCCACCCAGTCCCCCACTGTGCATCCTGCACCAAATTCCTCCCACTCTCTCCCCACTGTGCACCTTGCGCCAAATCCCTCCCACCCAGTGCCCATTGTGCATTCGGGGGCCAGATCCCTCCCGCCTTGTTACCACTGGCACCATGTGCAAGATCTCTAACATCGTGTCCCCTAATGTGCACTGTGTTCCAGATGCCTCCCACCTTGTCCCCTAATGGGCACTATGTGCAAGATCCCTCCCATTCTGTCCCCCAATATGCACCGTGTGCCAGATCTCTCCCATTCTGTCCCCTAATGTGCAACATGTGCATTATCCTTCCCAACCTTTCCCCCACTGTGTACTGTGGGCAAAATCTCTACCACCTTGTCCCCACTGTGCACCCTGCACCAGATTCCTCCCAGCCTTTCCTCACTGTGCATGATGTGCAAGATCACTCCTACTCTGTCCCCCATTGTGCACTGTTACAGAGCCCTCCGACCCTGTCCCCCACTGTGCATCCTATGCCAGATCCCTCCCACCCTGTACCTCACTGGGCAACCTATGCCAGATCCCTCCCACCCTGTCCCAAGTGTGCACCCTGAGTCTGAACCCTCCCATTGTCTCCCCCACTCTGCAGCATACATCACATCCCTCCCACCTTGTTTCAACAGTACACCCAGTGCCAGATCCCTCTGACCCTGTCCCGCACTGTGCACCCTACACCAGATCCCACCCACCTTTTCCTCCATCGTGCACTGTGGGCCAGATCCCGCCCACTCTGTTCCCAACTGTGCATTGTGCACCAGATCTCTTGTACGCTGTTCCCCACAGTGCACTGTGTGCCAGATTCGTGCCACCTTGTTTCCTATGTGCACTGTGCAACAGATCCCTGCCACCTTGTCCCCATTGTGCACCCTGCCTCAGATCCCTCCCATTCTGTCCTCGACTGTGCACCATGCACCATGTCCCCACTGTGCACTCTGTGCCAGATCCTTCCCACCCCTTCTTCAACTGTTCACCATGCACTAGATCCCTCCCAGCTCATCTGCTACTATTCACCATGTAGATACTGCCCCTCATAGAATCATAGAGCTGGAAGAGATCTTAGGAGGTCATGAAGTCCAGCCCCCTGCCCAAAGCAGGACCAGTCCAACTAAATCAACCCAGCTAGGGCTTTGTTGAGCCAAGACTTAAAAACCTCTAAGGATGGAGATTCCACCCCCTCCCTAGGGAACCCATTCCAGTACTTGACCACCCACCTAGAGACATAGTTTTTCCTAATGTCCAACCTGGACCTCTCCCACTGTAACATGAGACCATTTCTCGTTGTTCTGCATCTGTCACTACTGAGAACAGCCTCTCTCCATCCTCTTTGGAACCCCCCTTCAAGAAATTGAAGGCTGCTATCAAATCCCCCCTCACTCTTCCCTTCTGCAGACTAAACAAACCCAAATCCCTCAGTCTCTCCTCTTAGGTAATGTGCTGCAGCCCCCTAATCATTTTGGTTGCCCTCCACTGGACCCTCTCCAATGCGTCCACATCCTTTCTGTAGTGGGGGAGCCAGAACTGGACATAATACTCCCACCCTGTCCCCCATTGTGCACTGTGCACCAGATCCCTTTCCCCTTTCTTTGACTATTCACTATGCACTAGATACCTTCCACCTCATCTACCACTGTTCACTATGCACTAGATACTGCCCCTCATCTCCACTGCACCATGCCCCATATGCCTCCTGAACTGTGCCTTGTTGTGCACCGTGCACCAGATCCCTCCAACCCTGTCCCTCAGTGTGCACCCTGCGCCAAATCCCTCCCATCCTGTCCCTTACTGTGCACTGTGCTCTATATCCCTGCCACCCTCTCTCACTGTGCATCATGCACCAGTCCTGTCCCACCCTTTTCTTCACTGTGCACCATGGGCCAGATCTCTCCCACCCTGTCACTCACTGTGCATGTCTAGCAGTGTATCGGTGAGTCTCTGACTCTGCACCCCCATCCAGAGCCAGATGTGACTCTCAGCCAGCAAGTAGAACTTCTGTCAGAAGGACACAGAGTAGCATAGGCTCGCTGTAACACAGGTCCTGAGAACAGGCAGCCCCATTTTCACTGTGCACCATGGGCCAGATCTCTCCCACCCTGTCACTCACTGTGCATGTCTAGCAGTGTATCGGTGAGTCTCTGACTCTGCACCCCCATCCAGAGCCAGATGTGACTCTCAGCCAGCAAGTAGAACTTCTGTCAGAAGGACACAGAGTAGCATAGGCTCGCTGTAACACAGGTCCTGAGAACAGGCAGCCCCATTCCTCTTGGGGGGGGGGGGAGGGGGAAGGGGCTCTGGAGTCCTTCACCCCCCCTTTCATGCTCTAAGCCTCATCTTTCATCCTAGCCCAGCGGAGACTGACTTTTCTCATTGTCCCTACCCCCAGCCTGTTGCAGCCCTGCCTATCCTTTGTCTCTCTTTCCAGGTAAGAGTTATCACCTATGTCTGGCCCTCATGTGTCTGAGCCCAATACACATCTGCAGTGAATCATGCTCAGCCACACACACAACACCCCCACTATGTCACATCTCTCCCTCCTTTGAGACTGAACTGAGCAGGGTCACTCAGCCTGTGGCCAAGGGAAATTCAGGCCCCCTGCTACAGGATATCGCTTCGGCTATGACATTGGCATACCCCTTAACATGGATCCTCCATGTCATAATCCTGCAGGAGCAGGCTCCACCTCAGGAGCTTGGCATTGGTTCCCTTCATTTGGTGCAGCTAGGTCAGGAGGCAGTGGTCGGTGTACACTGTGAAATGCGGCTCAAACAGATACGGCTGTAGCTTTCGAAGGGCCCATACCATCGCCAGGCATTCCTTCTCTATGGCTGCATAGCTTTGCTCACGAGGCAGCAGCTTCCTGCTCAGGTACACGATGGGGTGTCACTCCCCCTTCTCATTCACCAGCATAAGCACCGTCCCACACCCCTTCCTGCACAGCTTCTTGATCGGGGCAGTGAGGGAGCTAAAGTGGGGCACAAACCTCCGGTAATACCCCGCCATCCCAATGAAAGCCTGGACCTGCTTCTTGGTCTGGGGGGCTGGCCAGTCTCTGATGGCCTCCACCTTGGCTGGTTCTGGCTTTAAGCAGCCACTCCCCACCTTATGGCCCAGGTAAAACAGCTTGGCCATCCCCACCTTGCACTTACCAGCCTTGACAGTCAGCCTAGCCCCCTGCAGCTGGTCCTGGGACACATAGCACTTGACTGTCCTGGGACACATAGTCCTCCCAAGTCTGGCTGAAGATGCAAATATTGTCGATGTAAGCCAGGGAAAAGCTCTCCATCCCCTGCAGCAGCTGGTCCCAGGTGCTGGAAGGTGGCTGGTGCCCCCTTGAGGCTGAAGGGAAGGGCCAGGAACTCATAGAGGCCCACCGGGGTCATAAATGCCAATTTCAGCCTGGCCTTGGGGTCCAGCGGCACCTGCCAATAGCTCTTGGTGAGGTTCACAATGGTGAGGTAGCGAGCTCCACCCCAGCTTGTCCAGGAGCTCATCAGGCCTAGGCATGGGATAGGTGTCAGACACAGTGATGGCATTGAGCTTCCGATAGTCCATGCAGGACCAGATCAACCTGTCCTTCTTGGGGACCAGAACCACCAGAGAGGCCCAGGGGCTGGAGGATTGTCGAATCACCCGTAGAGCCAGCAGGTCCTGGACCTCTCTTTCTAGGTCCAGGGCCATCTTCCCTGTGATGCTGAATGGGGAGCAGTGCACCTGGGGGTGGGTGCCCATCTCTACCCGATGGACAGACAGGATGGTGAGACTGGGTTTGTCAAAGAACAGCTGCTGGTAGGAGCGCAGCATGTCTTGGATCTCTGCCTGCTGGGTGGGGGTGAGTTGGTCCGAGAGGGGAATTGACTCCAGCAAAGAGTCCACTCCAGTCCCAGGGAACAGGCCCACCAGGGGGTCCTCTCCCTGCTCCTGCCAGTGTTTGCACATGGCCAGCACCCAGTTCTTCCTGCCCCTTTATGGCTTCATTATATTGATGATACACCCGCTGGTCGTGTGTCTGGCTGGACAGCTCCACGGCATAGTTCACCTCATTCAGCTGCTTGAGGACCTTGAAGGGGCTATCCCAGGCTGCTTGCAGCTTGTTCTTCTGCACGGGAATGAGAACCATCACCTGGTCCCCAGTGGTGTAAGCGCAGGCCCATCCGTTGTGGTCGTACCAGACCTTCTACTTCCTTTAGGCCCTACCCAGGTTCTCTCTGGCCAGGCCCATGAGCTCAGCAGGCCTTTTCCAGAAAGCCAGAATGTATTCCACCACCCACTCTCTGTGGGTATGTCTACACTACCCCGCTAGTTCGAACTAGCGGGGTAGTGTAGACATACCCCTAGTTAGGCTTTTAGTTCCTTACTCTGGCTCACAAAAGTTTGACCTCAATTTCAAAAGTGCTAAGTATCCAGTAAGTCTCAGGCCAGGTTTACAATAGACCCGGAGGCTTGTCTTAAGGTATGCAACTCCTGCAATGTAAAATACATAGTTGGAGTCAGCTTACCTTAAGCCAAGCTTTGTGCCATCCCCACAGCAGGAAGCTGATGGGAGCAAATACTCCTGTCTGCTTGGCTTTCTTTACTTATTGCAAGAGCAGGAGTACCAGTTGCCAGGAAGGGCACCCTTTGAGTTCACTTCAGTGAGTTTAGTTAAGACTCTCGTTAAGACTTGCTAAATCAATCTCCAGAAGATTGATCACAGCAACATCTATCTTCTGTGGAGTGAAGACAAGGCCTCAGTGACTTCAGTGTGAGGTTTTGAGCTCTCGGTATCTTTAAAAATCAAATCAGTTATATGGGTAAATAAGGTTTGGCTCTGGTTTTTTTAAATCTTGTTCCTTGATGTTTGGTGATTTATGCAGTCATTCCATAATACTCACTTAAACATTTCAGAGAGTGATAAAGGCCTTCCCCTCCCATTCATCTCTCAGTAAGTCCAGGAGTCCCCTCGCCCTTCTCTCGTACATCAGCTTCAACGGGGAAAACCTGTGGACTCTTGGGGCACTTCACTGTATGCGAACAGCAGGTGTGGCAAGTACTGGTCCCAATCCTGTGGGTGCTGATGCATAAAGGTCTTGAGCATCTGCTTTAGTGTCCCATTAAACCCCTCCACCTGTCCATTGGACTGGGGGTGATACTCTGAGGCCCAGGAGAGCCCGACCCCACACTTCTCACACAAGCCCTAGAGCAGGGTGGACATGAAGTTGGACTCCTGGTCCACGAGGACCTCCTTGGAGAACCCCACCCTGCTGAAAATGGCTAGCGGCATGTCTGCCACAGTGTCTGCCTCCATGGAGGCCAGAGCCATGGCCTCGGGGTAGTGGTTAGCAAAATCCACCACTACCAGGATGTATTTCTTCCCTGTCCGGGTCGCCTTGTGGGGGATGTGTGGGTAGATGCAGAGGTGCATGGGGATGGGAGGATGGATGAGGTGGGAGATGTTGTGGGATGTACGAGTGAGGGGGTGCTTGGGGGATGGGTGGGTGGATGGAGAGATGCATGGGGTGTAGGGATGCATGGTTGGATGGAGGACTGGCAGGAAGTTGTGAGATGGTGGGATGGCAGGATTTGTAGGGGGATGGGTGGATAGATGGCGCGGTGCATGGCACTGGGGGGAATGGGTGGGGTGGATGGTAGGATGGAGGGGCACATGGGGGTTGGGTGGGTAGATGGTGGGTGAGGGGATGGATGGGGGGAAGGGATGTTGGGGTGAGGGTGTGCATGGGGAGGTGGGGTAGATGGAAGGGTGCATGGGGGTGAGGGGATGGATGGATGGGTTGGCGGATGTTAGGATGAAGCGGATCATGGGGGGATGGGTGGGTAGATGGTGGGGTGCCTGGGGAGGGAGAATGTGGCGGGGAGGGAGAGGTGAGGGAGTGCATGGGGGGATGGGTGTGTAGATGGAGGGAGTACATGAGGGTTGAGGGATGGCGCAGTGGAGGATGTTGGGGGGAGGGTGGAATGGAATGGTTTGTGGGGAGTTGGGTGGGTAGATGTTGGGGTGAATGGGAGTGGGGGGAATGGATGAGCTGGAGGAGTGGGGGATG